ATAAATGCTAGAGATGGGGAATAAGTTTTAAACTTTTAGCACGTTCTAGTGCTTGAAAGATTGTTTTTTATGTAGATTTACATATTTCAGAAATATCTAAAACGCCATAGCATGTTACTGACACAATTGTTTGTCATAAAAGTGACTTTTAAAGTTATTAGTCTTCGTAGTGCCCTTGTTAGAAATATCTAATTGCTGAGTGCGGCGACAAACAAAACAAAATAACATTTTAAAAAGGTATAAATAGATAAAAAGTTTATTGTTTTCTAAGGACACTAGGGGCAGTTTGTGTTGTCCTGCCTTGAAATCAAACTCAATTTTGATTATTTGTCCTAACAATGATCTTAATATTTTCCACATCATGATTTTCTTTATTTATTGAATATTGATCAGGTTGAATATTGAATATTGATTTTGCATATTGTTTACTTTTTGACATCAATAAAACGCAAAAAGAAACAAACAAAACAGAACAAAATATGATTTAGAAAAGTATGAATAGATAAATAGTTTAATTTGGTTCTAGGGGCAATTTTTGTTGTCCTGCCTTGACTGACTGACTGACTGAGTTTGGGTTTACACCGCTTTTAGCAATATTCCAGCAACGTCACGGCGGGGGACACCAGAAATGGGCTTGACACATTGTACCCATGTGGGGATTCGAACCCGGGTCTTCGTCGTGACGAGCCAACGCTTTAACCATTATCCTGCCTTGAAATCAAACTCAATTTCGATTATTTGTCATAGACACGACCTTTATATTTTCCACACCATGATTGGCTGACATTTCCAATCATTACATGTGTCACTGAGAATGCCACTTATAATATTATACTGTATTCTGATCCAGCTGACCACACAACATGTCGCAGGTTTATAATACAACCACTGAGCTGGTGTTCAATCGTGTATTCTGCCATTTGGGATGCAAACAGTGTGTGCCATTTACCTGTAATTAGGGAAATTACATACAGAGGGCTGCCACTGCCAGCATGGTGTGTCATAAATTATGAATTAATATGATAAAGTGAAACTATTGTGACATTTACTAAATAGAAATAATTATGAAAGTTACTAAACCATTGTTAAATATAATTACCTGAATACAGGATTACACCTGACATAAATGAGAAAGACCTGTGAAGGTCCGGGTTAGAATATTGGCCTTCAGTAACCCATGCTTGTCGTAAAAGGCGACTAACGTGATCGGGTGGTCAGGCTCGCTGACTTGGTTGACACATGTCATCGGTTCCCAATTGCGCAGATCGATGCTCATGTTGATCACTGGATTGTCTGGTCGAGACTCGATTATTTACAGACCGCCGCCATATAGCTGGAATATTGCTGAGTGCGGCTTAAAACTATACTCACACTATAAATGAGAAATCGTTTTAATATTAACAATTCATTCCAACAAACTTGCAAACCTGTAAATAAGGAAACTACACGTTGAGGGCTGCCACTGCCATCATGGTGAATGCCAGGTACCTGGTACATTTATATCACCTGAGTGCACAGTCTGCAGGAGCAGCATGTGCCAGAGCCCAGGATGTACCTGCTGGCAGCCAGCTCATCTGTATGGCAAGCTGTTAGGGACAAAATTGTGAATTTGTGACGTGTGTTTGGGTTGCTGTGCTATATGAACAGTTCACCCTGTGACACAACATATATCTCGTTCAATATTTTGCGGCTGCATGTGATAGCGCTAAACATGTTTCTGTTCAGTTCATTTTGAAGTATCAATTCTTCTGCAGATACTATAAGTGTTTCAACCGACATCGTCATTATATTTTAATTAACCAACAGTTTAGATGTTACATATGAGCAAATACACACACGCGCGCGCACACACACACGCACGCACGCACACACAAACCACAGATTGGGATTTAGTATTAAACTTTAAGCAGTTCTGTTCCTCGAAAGATAGTTTTGCATGCAGATTGAAATAGGTCAGAAATATATGTAAAACCTAAGCGTGATCTTTGTTTTCTACGAGTGTCGTCTTTAGAGTTATTAGTCTTCACAGTCCCCTTGTTAAAAATATGTATTTGTAACATTCGCTAAAAAACTGCCTCCGTGGTGTAGTGGTTAGAGCGTCCGCCCGGAGAACGGAAGGTCGAGGGTTCGATCCCCCGACCGCGTCATACCAAAAGACGTTAAATTATTGTACTTGTTGGTCCCTGCCTGGCGCTCGGCATTAATGGGTACACCAAGGACTGGTCTGCTCGGAGTTTAACGTCGTGCTTGAGAATATTTCGCTCATATGACGACGTGCATGCGTGTGTATGTGTATGTTCGGCTGCTTGTACTAGCCCAGACTTAAGCTGGTTTTATAGTGGTAGCCCACTGAGATACCATGCCGCAGTGAAGCATGAATACCCCACTCAGACACATTATACTGACTCCGAGCCGACCAGTACCAATTAATGCCGAGAGCCAGGCAGGGACCAACAAGTACCATATTTTAACGTCTTTTGGTCTGACGCGGTCGGGGATCGAACCCGCGACCTTCCGCACTCCGGGCGTACGCTCTAACCACTATACCACGGAGGCGATCTGTAACTATGAAAGTGCCAGTGCAATGCTGTACAGCATGAAGCTGAAGAACGTATCGCGTGTTGATGTCAATGTGGCAATCGACACCTACCTGTTATTTGTATGAAGAAATTTGATTAAATGCAACGTAAACCTTACTCGTTTAATCGAAATCTTCATACATTGCGCCCATGTGGGGAATCGAACCCAGGCCTTCGGCGTGACGAGCGGACGCTTAACCACTAGGCTACCCCACCGCCCCGGAAGAAAAGTATCAGACGAAGGAGAGAATGTGATCTATCTAACACAATGTAGTGCTCATTAGCAAATTTCAGTTATGTTAGCATCACGAGAGAACTGCAGTTACCCTATGCCGAGAAATCGTTTAACATTTCACACCAGTTATCTTCCTTTGCGAATATTTTTTTAAAAATTTTAAATATGTTGTAAACCTCATCTTTTACAAGCTAACACTCATCAAATTGTGTAAACAAGTAAGGATCTGTTGCCTAACGACGCACAGCATTAATCCTGCTGTTGACCCAAGAAGATCCGGGTGAGAATTGATCTTCAGCAACCCATGCTTGTCCTGAAAAGCGACTAACAGGGTCGGGTGGTCAGGCTCGAGAGGTCTTGGTTGATACATGTCATCGTATCCCAATTTGTGTATACAGATGCTCATGCTGTATAACACTGTATTGTCTGGTCCAAACTTTTGAGAATACTGGACTCATGTAGCTGTGTCAAAAACAACACAAATATACTATGTATTTCCGAAACGTCATCTGTGATTGTAAACAGCTTCAGAGCCAAAATGCAGTTTCCCTTGTGTTAGAAGCGTTTGAAGAAGTATCAAGAACGTCATAAAGAAAACATGCAAAGCAAAATGCACGTGGAATTGAGTAGAAAAGCATGCGGTATTGATCACTATAAAAGGCAAACATTGTGTTTAATTTTGTCATTCGCTTTTGCCTGGAAAAGAGGAAATCATCCGCCAATCGAAACATCGCCATAGGTCCCCTTGAAGCGTGGAAGTCGCAGTCTACATCCTGGCTGCTCACTTGAGTCATCGTCTTGCACAGCAAGACTGCACAAGGCATCTCTGGTTTGAGAAGAATTTCCGAACAAACTGTCAGGAATCGATTGCGTGAAGTGGGGATTCGACCAACAAGGCCATTTGTCGCCCCTGTTTTTGAGAGACTTCCATCAGTGCAATCGCTTACGGTGGTGTCGTAGAGTCCGGAACTGGAACCTTAGAAACTGGAGGCGAGTCTGGTTCAGTGATGAATTACGATTTCTTCTTCAAGATGGAAGACAGCGTGTTTACCGTCGGACAAATGAAGGTTTTGCCCCTATTACATTCGACAGGAAGGAGTGTCTTGACGTGGAGTGAGATATCCAGCACACAAAGACCTGATTTAGTGGTGGTTCAAGGGAATTTGACAGCAAATCTGTACATCAACGAAGTCCTTGCACGTCACATGCTTCCGATTATGGACCGACAGGGGGAGTTGTTCCAGCATGCCAACGCTACTTCACATAATGCATGCGTCACTGTCAAATACATCGCCAATTCCAACGCCAATGTCTTGCCATGGCCTTCGCGATCACCAGATCTAAACTCGATAGAACACCCATGGGATGAACTCGATCCTCATGTATGCCAATGAGAAAACACGCATCTGACACTACCAAAACTGGCCATTGCATTGCAGGAAGAGTGGGGAAGAATTCCGCAAGAGCGACTTCGTTGACTTATCCAGTCTGTGCCAAGACTGTGACACAATGGTGGGCTCACAGATGACTGACTTTGACGCCATCTTGTGGACTCAAATAAACAGGAACACAACAATAAAGGCTGATGTTGGGTTGGCGAACTCCTTGTCTATAGACGTGTGAATTTTCACCTTTTTACAATAATGATTGAAATCACATGAAATATTTTTTTAAGAGTGTATATAGCTGGAATATTGCTGAGTGCTGCGTTAAACAACAAACAAACAAACAAAGCAAATCCTGCCATTCGACGGCGTCCTGTAAACAAACAAGACAAATAAACGACAAGAGCATCAAGTGAGGCAATACAAAAAAGAAGGATAAATAGATGAAAATATTCTAAGGGCAGTATGTGTTGTCCTGCCTTGAAATCAAATTCAAGTTTGGTTATTTGTCTCAAAAATTATCCATATGTTTTCCATGTCATGATTTGTTTTATTTATTGAGTATTGCTCAGGTGCATTCTTGCATATCTTTCCAAAATGAATTTCAATATTAAGTGTTTAAGTATAACTCGTCACAAAACATCAAACTGTACTCCTGTATAGACCCACAGATGAAAAGTAGCCATTCCTTTCACAACAGAAAAGATGGCCCACCGGCAGGAGAGCATCCCTATATATATCAAATTGCATCTTTCAAAAAAAAATCAAAACATTTAAATTCCGAATTAATTCTTTTTTCAGCATCAGGTCGCAGTTAGGACGGATACAACCACTGAACATCCCCCGGTGACTATCCTGGACAAAACGGTAATTTAAAAGAATCTCCATTTATTAATCATAAGCTTTATGTGCAATTTTTGCCATTAGAAAAATCAAACAACAGCCACAACAAAAATGTCTGGAACGATAAACAGATTTTACTGCAGAACGAATTTCTGTTGCAGTAATAAAAAATGTGCCATTCATCTATTCAGAAAAGAAACAAATGATTTTTTTCTTAAAGTCCTGACTATTCAACATCCAGAACTACAAGCACTGTATTCCTATCTTTACTTCAGAAAAGAAAATCCGACTGGGAGTTGCATGCAGAAAGAAACATGGATGGACCACTCAAAGAACTCCGTCAGCAGGGACAGGTATGAAATTCCCCTTGCATCATCCCATTTTGAAGGGTCAAAGGTGTCGATGCAAATGGTGCCAAAATTCGCCGTGCAGAGTTGCCTTGCTTCGAAATGCCGTGACTAATGGCTGGTGGGCTGATTCCGCGGATCTTTTTATGGTTTGTTAACAACACACACACATACTGCATCATGGATAAAACGGTGATATCTCCATCACTATGGGCGTGCAGGAAACCCGGGTACGAATACCGGTCTACTCGTGGCTATATATCTATGAAGTACATTTATCACAGCTGAGATACTGCAAATCCGCTCACTCACTTACAGGTCATTCTTGTTTAAGGAAATTTTGTAAAGAAAAATGTTTCACGTTAAAAGATTTGTTTTCATTGCCTCATATATTACAAACCATATTGTTTTGATATTTTATCTTTGGAATGTGTACTATATCTTACGTGTGTTATGTTAATTTTTATGCTTGAAATGACCTGTTCTAACAATAATTGTATGAGACGGATGGACTTTCAATTCAGCAGGTACATTCACATCTAGACTACCTAAAATTGAAATGTTGTGAAAGAAACCTTTCATATATACATGTTGAAGAAATATTCGTACATTTTCCTATTCATTCTATGTATATTGACATATGTACTTCATTTCAAAAACACATATCGATGAGCTATTGATTTTGTCATCTAATTTGACACATTTTATCACATATGGACACGAACAGCATTCTTAGAATCCCTGAAATGTAAACAATAAAAAGAAATGAGTGAGGGAGTCAAAATTTATTGTCACATCGGCAATATTTCAGTCATGTCGTGACTAAAACTACAGTCGAGCACCATTGTGTCGAACTCTGATAACTCGGTTGTCTCGATATAACATCTCGGTTCCGGCAAAATCCTTCATAATTTATCATTATTCAAGCTCTTTTAACTCGATACGGATGTCTCAATATTTCGGATATCTCGATATAATTCCATGGTCCCAACAATCAAAATTACCCTATTAACTCGATATTTGCAAAGAAACTAGATTTTCACCTACTTTTCGTGGGCAAGTATCCCTCTGGACTGAGGTTGTTTCCCCACGATTACACGCGGCGCGGCATGAATCAAAGGGGTGCGGTAGTGTAATCAGGGTTAATTGAGTTGAAGGTGTCACTTGTTTGTTATTTGATTAGGATTAACTAAGAAGGAAGTACTCACTGTTCCGACTAAACACTACTGATAATCGATTAATATAGTTTCGAATCAAAACATACTGAGAAGCGTTTTGTTTTCTTTCATAGTAGTGATATGCCATGATATGCCCTGATCGGATGTCGGATAACTCGATATTGTTTCTTGGATTTTTCCATGAATATCGAGACAACGGTGCTCGACTGTAGTTCTAAATATCGACGCGAACAGCAGACTTAGAATCCCTGAGATGTAAACACTAAAGAAACTACGCAACAAAAGAAATAATTTGAAATCATGGAAATGGATATTGAGAGAAATATGATTGATTTATTTCTATTTTTGTGGTGCATGCTTTGTCATAACGGACAATGGAGTAAGGATGGATTAGTTGGAATTCCCAAAGAGAGTAAAGCACTTGTTGATACCTGGCCTGATATTGATACTTAGAATCCTCAAATGGAGCCAAGCATACTTTGTCAGGGATCCATATTAGGAATCCATACAGGCAAACTGTAGACGTTCACGCCGATGACGAGGGGTGAGGATAGGTCCAAGGTAAGGTCTACGACAATGGAGGTTCCCGCTGTTAAGACGTCGGCGTACTGTGTCAGTACTGTTGGGTCCCCCCTCTATGATTCACTGTCTGGCGTGCTGTTTCGGATGCCTGCATGAAGGGATTCTGTACATACTGTCGCACAACATGGCGGTCTTGTCGTCTTGTGGTCACCCTTTGTCTGCCAGTACGGGGGCGACCATTTGTGCTGTTGGTGGCCCGGAAACGTTGCTGCTGCTTGTGCAGTGTGGCCAGCTTCAAGTCTTCCTTGCGCCTGGTTCCTCTGAGCTGTCGAGAGAAGGGTCATCCTGCTGACGTTGTAATGTGAATGTTTCAACCAGGTTGGGGGTGCATTTTATAGGGCTGGTCTTTGTGAACAGCACGTGCAGCATGAGTTGCATGAAAAACATGGAGAACACCGTACCATCTCCGAGATCAGGTTGCGTTTTGAGACCATTTTCTAGGTTCCATTCTGAGTTTGGGAAGGAACTTCTTGCTCAGGTAAAAAAAGGGGATGTTGTCAGAAATATACAATCAAAACATTAAATGAGTTTAAAGTTATCCGTTTCCGCGAAGGAAAATTCCCAAACTGACGTTTCTTTTGCTGCTTAGTATATGTTCCTTTCATTTGGCTGAATTTGTCAATAGTCGTCAATACCTAAGGAGATGTAATTCCTGCTGGGGGCCATGCAGGGAACAATTGTATTGTAAGCTCCCGATGTAATTTAATCTTGTTCAATTGGATCCAAGCTGGCAGTAACGTAACAAAATAATTTAGCTTCAAAGCATGTCGTACAATACCCTGCAGTGTGCGTTGTGAATGGTGATAGGCGTCAAACCAGTTTTGCAACATTCCACTGAAATAATTAGCCTATACTTAACTAGAGCGAGGAATTGTTGACCAACAAAGAACACAAACTCCGCACCTCCCTTCTTCAACCTGCTTTTTTTTCTCTTTATGAACGTCGCTGTGTAATCCGTAATGTACGTCGCGAATACGATCTTATCAAGTTTCACCTTTGTCTTCCTTCACATTTATATTCCTTTCTGTCAGCTTTCGTAGTTCATACCCGGGGGTTTCACGCGTGTCGGATTATAGACAAGACTCAGTGTATGAAATAAAACAAAACTTGCAGTGCTTTGTTCAAACAGTAATTGTCAAGTCTAATGTTATAGTCCAGGAGGAGGCAGCTGAAAAATATGAAATCGTAGCCTCCCAAGTACTGATTTTGTTTGACCCCACTTTCAGTTAATATGACGTCTTGGGCTCATTAAATGGCGTGTAATACTCTCGGATTGTGGTATCAGGGTTCTTTTTACAGGCCATTATATGTGGTGGCGGTCTGCGAGCATTTTCGTCATATTTGGTTTGCTGCCCCGACAACACCTCAAAGTTAATTATGGATAGTTTTACTACTATCAATCTGATCACTTTCATTTTGACTTGTGTGTATTGCTGAAGGATGTAGAAATTAATTGACAAATCTTTGTTTTTGAAAAAAAAGCAAAATGGCCACCATTTTTGACGCCATTTTGTCTTGTCGTGTTTTGCCTTCTCAGCGCTTAAATTTGCATAAAAATAAACACCGAATGTTTCCATTTACATCCAAAGTTAATATTTTTATGTTGTTTGACATGTGTATCTCCTAGAGTGATGGCTTGGGCAGAAAACAAGTCGTTTTGTATGGTCATATCTTGGTAATATAATATTTTACAGCTTATTCTTTGAGACATGGACTTTACATGGAAATGTGTGGTAGTGATGTATTTATCCAAAGTTAACATTATTTTTGTTGATAAAACAAGTTGTTTTTGTTTCTTCTGACGGCATGTTATGAGAAATTGTTACATATTACCCAAAATTCAAAAATGGCCGCCAACATGGCCGCCATTGTAGTTTTACCACATATTTATAGTGGAGGACTAAATTTTGTACTTATATAAAAACCAAACAATTGATTTGGTGTCAAGTGTTTAATACAGTATTGGAATAGAACTAAATTTCAATGATATGGTCAGTGAAAGCTTCACACTCATAAAATATTTGATGAAGTAACATTATCCAAACGTGTTTGAAAACTATACTTCATGGCCGATAACTGCGCATAAACTCTAGTCGTAGCTATTTTTATTGTTCTATAAGAAAACTCTTAAATCACTTTTGATACATTCAGAAGCTCTCAATTAACCCTCATTTTAATTTCTTTCATATTATATGTTACTCCATGTGCGAATCGGAGTCATCTACTGGCAGCAAATCAAAGGTGTTCGGGCAACAATCGCCTGGCATACAAAATACATGCCACTGTGCAAACTAGATCATTCTGTCTACATCGACATAGATCTCTCCGCTGGCATGTTGACTTTTTGCTTTTACATAATGTCCGTTCAACCAATCCACGGGGAGCAGGATCTCCCGACATCAGAATAGGGATAAGCTGACCAATTCAAATGCTCAAACCATGGTCAACTGGTGAAGTTGTGTTTATAATTGGTTGCAGAGACTGTTTTCAAACATGGACTTGGTAGTTTACTTGCTCAATGTGATGTTTAGACTGTCGGATGTTGGTGGGAGGTTTGCATTCAATATCTTGTGTCATCTACAGACATCACTGGATTATTTGGTACATACATAGAACTCACAATCTGGGCACAAGATGTAATGACTGTTTCTTGAACATCCAAATTGCTACCCATTTGTTGTGTGAAAGAAAGAACATCAAAAGCGGTTTGTTAAATGAACTTTAAAGGGGAGTTTATGGTCCTTCACTGGTTATTTTAGCAGAAAGATAGATAGTTTCACTTTCATCCCAAGGACGTGTCTGAAATCTGATTCGTAATTTTGTCTTCAGACGATAGCATTCGCCTGGCAAGAGTTGCACATAATTATTTCCCGCTTAATGTTTTCCAAAATACTAATAATATTACAAGGAAATTAGGGGTTTAATGTGCCCATAACCTTATTGTTTGTCTTACGCTAAAACCCAATCTGTAATGCAAAAGTCAGTTGAAGAAAGTCTAAATTCCTTCTGGTTCTGAATCCACGGGCTAACTGGGGCTCACTTTCAATTTAAATGAAGGTACTATATATACTACCCATCAAAAGTTTAGAATCACTTAAAGCACTCACTATATGTTATGCATATATGTGCGGTTACATCGAAGATGAACGTCTCCACTAACTTTGGGGAACCAACTGCAAATTTTATGTAGATGAGTTGCACGAGGATCATGCATAAAATTGCTGAAAAGCATGTGCAAATATCGTGCATGTGAACAGCTGTGTTGTGGTGTAAAATTTTGTTAAAAATTCCCCAATTTTCACTTAGTTTCATCATTTTTAACCCGTGACAATAATCTTTTCAACATTACGAATTTGTTTTACAATACATCAGTTCATGTGTAAACAGTACCTTTAAACAGTATGGAACATTTTGCAAAATCTAGTTTAGAACAGTTGACTTAAGTAAGTAGCTACATTTACGCTACTGAATCTAAACTTTTGATGGGGAGTATATTTTGTTATGCATCGCCTAAATTAAAAGTTCAGTTGCTACGGTTTAAACGTTTGAAAGACTCGAAGTGTTATGCAGTATCTGTTGAAGATTTATTTCATTTCCTTCTGTTATGTCCTCATTATAAGACATGTAGAGAACTGTTTATACCACCGTATTATTATAACAATCCATCCCATGATAGATTTGTCTCATTAATGTCAACAGCATATTCTGTTCTTATATATAGGATATTACTCTTCCTCAAAAGAAATGTACCATGTTAAGCAGTCTTGCATTGTATATCAATATATCTGTATGATGATTTTTGTATCTTACCATGAGGCCTCAAATGCAAATATAAACTTGTCACTTATCACTTGTCACTTGAAGTTATCTGTCTCTGTCAAATTACCCATTTTCAGGGACTATGTGATAAGTGCTGGCGAGTCACATAATTTACAAGTTTTAATTTCTCTTGGAGCATTATTCCAACGCCCTGCCTCAACTGGTAAACAATGATTAGATATTCTGAAAATTGATATATTTGGGCAATAAGAGAAAGGCATCAAGTGATGGTAGGGACTTAATATATTTATAGTATTGTCCCTTAGGACTTATCTCTATGGCATTCAGCAGCCCATTCTTGTCGTTGGTTGGTTGGTTGGCTGCTTAACGCCGGTATGCACAAGGCATCGTATCCCAATAGCGTAAATCGATGCTCATGCTGTTGATCACTGGTTTGTCTGGTCCAGACTCGATTATTTACGCCGCTGCCATATAGCTGGAATATTGCTGAGTGCGGCGTAAAACTAAACTTACTCATTGTTCTCCTCAGACTTAAATCTCAGAATTTTATTGAACTTAGGATAAAAGTTGTTTGACAAACGGTCATAGTTTCAAATCGCTATTATTGGTTTGTATTGGGGTATGCACATTAAAGGAAACCCCGAAAACAAGAAAGGTTGGTTTCTACGGTAGTGTATTTTAACACTCATCACGCACCGCACGCACTTGTTTCACTGTTCCAACTACTGCGGTCCCCAATTGCGCAGATCGATGTTCATACTGTTGATCACTGGATGGTCTGGTCCAGACTCGATTGTTTACAGACCGCCGCCATATATCTGGAATATTGCTGAGTGCGGCGTAAAACTCAACTCACTCACTCTGGTGTCAGTGCTCCGTTAAAGAACATATAAATATTTTCAAGGGTGCAATTGCCAACAGACACCTTGATTTAAAAGCGGAGCTATATCCTATATTGTTTTACTGCTGTAACTCTCAGACATTCTGCCTAAATAGATCGTGAAAGTGAGTCTTGACCAGTATATTTGATCATTATAAATTACGACATGTGTTTCTTTGATTCAGATTGTTCTACCGGAGAAAGCTGCAATAGCGAAAATGACCGTCGGTCAAGCGTTTAGAACATACAACAGGTACAGTATACTTGTTTTAAATACTAGTATAACAATTTGTATGTTTTCTTATGTTAGCACTAAAGTCTGTTTGGTTCAAATTGACGCTGATGGATCACAATCTAACTCAAATTTTGTTCATGATCAAACATTCATTTCAACTCTGGAAACAAAGGTTTCATAGCCTTTGGCTCCAAAATCAAAAAGTTACTTAACTATCTATCATCTCTTTGTTTTGATTTTTCGTGTGACGTTTGACGAGGGCAAGGTAACAGTAAACTGTTGCAGGAACAGCCTCAATGACGGTTGATGATGATGATAATGATGATGTTGATGATGATGACGTTGTTGTTGACAATGATGAGGATACTGACTGCTATGTAAACACTGATCTTTTGGAATTTGCCAAAACTAAATCAGATGTACTAAGTAAATTACATGTGGACAATATTGTACATAATGCTATTCAGAATGGTCATATAATGATGAAAATGCTAATGGAAATACTGATGATGAGGCCGATGATGTTGTTGACAATGATAATGATGATGATGATGATGATGATGATGTTGATGACGATGATGACTACCATGTAAACATTGACCATTTTAAACATGCCAAAAATATGTCAGCTATTCCAGATGAATTACATGTAAATAATATGCTTTCCAGAATGGTGACAATGATAATGAGAAAACTGATGATAATGTTGATGATGATGTTGATCATGTTGTTGACAATGATGATGTTTACGATGATGTTGACGATGATGATGGTGATGACGATGATTCTAATAATTCAAATGACACTCTATAATTACTCTCCTTAAATGAATGTGGTCTGAAAAAACGCTTAGATTACACAGAATTACAAGCAATTCTATCAAACAATGACATTGTAGGATTTCAAGAAACAAACACTGATACCTTAGACGATATTGATATCCATGGTTATAAGCTATTTCTCCAAAACAGAAAGACATCATCAAGGAATTCCAGTGGTATTGGCGTTGCTTTTAGACGTAAATACGAAAAATATGTGACAGTCATTAATAATTTGTATTTGTTTAATCCATATTATGGATAAAAATATGTAAATCCATATTTGATGTTCAAGAAGATGTTTACTTAGGTATTGTATATATTGTTCACTAAAATATTAAACAACCGCCTTTCAGATTTCTTAGATACTAATAATGTTTTAACACCTGCCCAAGCCTGGTTTAGAAAATCATTCTCCACTGTTGACAATGTATTTTTAATTTATAATCTGATGCAAATTTTGAAAGATAGGAATAAAAAACTCTATTGTGCCTTTATAGAATTTACAAAAGCTGTCGATACTGTTTGGCGAGTGGGATTGTGGAAAACATGAAAACGATTGGTATAGAGGGTAAATTCCTGAATCTTGTTAAATCGATGTATAGCAATATCAAATCGCTTGTACAATGTAATAATGATGTATCAAACTACTTCTCATGTAACAACGGCGTCAGAAAAGGGGAAAATCTGTCACCATTATTATTCTCCATTTTCATAAATGATATTGAATCTCATTTACTTACTGCAGACTGTAATGGTGTAAATCTAAACTATATTGAAGACGACGAATTGGTGATATTTGTAAAGTTGTTAATTTTATTATATGCAGATGATACAATATTATTTGATGAATCGTCAAAGGGACTACAAGATGCTTTGAACTCATTTAAGGACTATTGTGATTCATGAAAGCTTAAAGTGAATATAAACAAAACTAAACTAGTAATATTCGGGGGAGGACCATCAAAAAGCACAAAATTATATTTCATTTGGATGGGAAATTACTTGAAATAGTTGATAAAAAAAAATAGAAAACTCGTATAAGTATTAAAACCGTAAGCAATAGTGCCTCAAAAGCAATGTATAGTTTAGTGAAAAAAGCTAGAATATTAGACTTGCCTTTAGACTGTTTATTGTTAGCATTTGACTTAATGGTAGTACCTATCTGGACCTATGTTGCAGAAGTCTAGTCTTTCGAAAACCTTGAAATTTTTTAGAAAATCCATTTAACATTCTTATGACTCATTACAGGATTAAGAAATTCAACCCCTCGTTTTATGCTGTATGGGGAACTAGGAAGATACCCTATTAGAATTATGATATATAAATGTTTATTAATCTTTTGGCATAAGTTAACTTACCAAGAAGGTGCTTTTAAGCTTACGAACTTAAGTTACAAGTATTTATCACTTCAAAGAACAATAAATAAAAAAGATAATCCCTGGCTCTCGCACGTTAAAAATATATTAGACAATACTGGACTCCCCCGGTTTTTGAAAACCCCTCAATTTGTACAACCCAGTGGCTGATCTCAAAAGTTGAATATATTCTTAAAGATCAATTTATCCTAAACTAGCACAATGCCATTATTTCTAATCCCAAGGGAATACACTATCAGCACCTAAAGCCATTTCGCAAGTTTGATGTATATCTCCTCCTTCCAAAACGCATTTCTTTACCATTATTGAGATTTAGAACATGTAACCATAGTTTACCTATCTAGACGGGCCGCTGGTATAAGGCCAAGAAAAAATAAATGTTTCTGGTATATGCATACAGACTAAAATGATGCGATGACGCGACTTTTTTATTTTTTCACAATGTCGTTTGTTTAATAATGATGCTACTTGTTCTTCGCAGAAAGCAATAAAAAGAACTGGTGGTTCATCTGCTGGGAGGTTTTAGGGACATGTTGGTGACTGTGGGGGATGTCGTACCCTTGAAAAATATCAAACTCTGGTGGCAGCATACACTGCTGCAGCTTCAATTTTGTTGTATGGGGATCAACCATCCAAAGGCCATCGCCTAGTAGCAGGCAAGTTTAAAATGTACATATGAAATAACGAATTGAAGGATGTGTATACTTTTATACTATTGCAATGGGAAACTTTTATATTTTGTCAATTTATTTGTCTGAAATATCAAAGGAAAAATAAAAACAATGAATTAGATTTTAATATTTATTTATCCATGAGATGATTATACATTGTTTGAATGTAATTTAGAATATTACAGTGAAATATTTATGTATTTGTTAAAATTTGAAATGAAATTCAAATTAATATATAGATACTTAGGACTACTTATATTTATGAAAATATATTTCTTGTAGCCATCTTATGATACTGTTGTGCAGTTCAAAACGTCTATTTGGTCTATGTATGGGCCTGAATGCTTACCAAACTTTGGAAACTTGCGACTTCATAAGAGCTTGAAAGGCATTTTTCTTCGGCAAATGCGTTCCTTGCGCCTTGTCATCGCTGAATTGTAAGTGGTAAACCATGTATTTACCAAATTCCCAGGTGTCATTCAAGTTTACGGTCCATGGAACTGACTGGAATTGACCATATTGTTTATCTCCAACTGAAACCGCGACCACGCAGTCATCATACTCAGCCGGTAAAACAAACTTGTCACAGGTCGAAAAATGCCCTTTCCTCAGTGACTCAGTATAAATCAAGTGCGCGATGCATCTAGACTACATTCCACAAAACCAAACGACCTTATAATCTTACGCCACACTCTATTTGAACTGAAACAAGTAGCATTTTGGTTTTCCCTGCTGCACGCTTCCCCAGTTACGACAGACAGACTGACTGACTGACAGATAGATAATTAAAAGTTTAATTCGGTGTTCGGGCAACAGGGTCCATTTAAACCTTGCCCATCATAAAGGTTTGCTAAGTTGCTAAACTTTTATATAGCAGTAAAGCTGCCACATGCTTTAATATAATCAAGAATGACATTCTGAACTTCATGGTGAACGATATTTCTTGAGCACAATAGTCGAGTCAATGAGATGTCAATATTGTGTGATGTAAGAGATTCCGCCATCGCCTTACGTTGATTTACATATTTATGGCAATGCAGTTAATAATGAGCCAGATTATCTAGCTTATTACACACTGTGCAATTTGCAGAAATATCTTTATTAATAATATTTAGATATGCACCAAGACCACAATGCCCAAGTCGAAGTCTGGTTAAAAGAACCTCTTCTCTACGGTTGCTTCTTGACAATTTGGATTTAGTTACAAAACGCTCGATGCCATACAGATGGCGTCCTTTTAAGGATGAGGTCCATCTCTGTTGCTATTTCGTTTGAGCATGGGTCCTGCTGCCGGTGCATAATTCTGCAGGAGAGGGCAATATTGTCTCATCCTGTTCTGATCCACCAACGTCTAATGCAGCTTTTGCCAATTTATCAGCTTTTTCATTTCCAAATAGTCCCATATGAGCAGGTATCCATGACAATTCTACATTTAAAAGAACTTTACCTAATTCATTAGAGTGTCGAGTATAATAATATGCTAATAATATGCTGAGGAGAAACCAGTCTGAACTGCTTGTAAAGCACTGACAAAATCGCTGAAAATGACCGCCGAAACAGGTCTCAAAATATGATTCCAAGCTTCAATGATTGCTGCAAGTTCAGCAGAAAGTACTGATAAGTGATCAGCTAATCGTACACACTCCCTTTGCCCATTTATAATCCGGAAAAAACGCTTGACGCGCTGGGTTGAAACCGACGAGGGCGGAAACCAGAAACAAGACATATATTTTTTTAGGCGTAATATTCCAAGGGACGAGAGAACGTGTCAACTATACACTTCTAAAAGCATCGCAGGTGAATATCATTATTTTTTTCATTGCAAAGCATTAGATGCTTTGAGGAAACAGTATTTACCCTCCCATCTAACCTCTCTTCCCAATGAAACAAAGTTCACGAAACTATTATTTGTAAAAACATCTCGACACATAGTAAATCTACCAAAATATATCCTACATCTATCGACTCGTCAGAAGAAAATGTTAATATGTTGTTTACTGCCACCGTGAATTTGAATTTGTATTTGTATATATGTTTACAATATATGCTTTTGTACCACCAAGGTGGTTTAATTTATGAGAATAAAGAATTGAAAATAATTTTAAAAATTGACGGGAAGCACGTGCAATTCTGACGTCACATCAAATATA